AATTTTTGAGCTAGAGTGCTCATCTTCGAACTCGATCTGTCTTTTTATGATACAAAACGACCCTGAAAATCCCAGGTCGCTATCTCAATTCTTTCTCGAGTTATCGTGCGGACAGACAGACAAACAGACAAACAGACAGACAGACAAACAAACAGAATGAAACTTTTCCGGTCAGTGGAGTAATGGGCTTCGCTAATCGCTCAGCCAATCATAGCTAGTTAGTTGCTCATTACTTGACTTTGAATGTTGCAGACGAAGAATTTCTTGACAATTTCTGTGCCGTTGAGAACGAGCGCCAGGAGGAGGACCACGCTCGTATCAATGAACTGCAGCACATAGCTTTTCCCATCAGACACAAGTTGCGCAGCCTGGTGCAACTCAGGAGATCGCGGCGGGAGGCTCACCAGCGGTACAGAGTGGCCATGCAAGCGTGGTCGCACGAGATCTTTACCGAGAGAATTTATATTTCCAGAGAGGAGGAATTTCGTGAGTGTCTTTTGCAATGTCTTTTAAGTCCTGAAATTACTATTTTTGAGTCAACCAGGTCTCAGATAATAAACACTAAGGCATATTTTCCCTTATGAGGCACTATTTACTGGAATTCAAAGGAAACAAAAGGAATTTTTGTCGTTCAACGATGGAAATTTACTTGCCTAAGATTTCCAATAAATTCAAATATTTTTTTCAAAGAAACAGTTTTTTGGGATGCGTGATATCGAACTATATTTGACCTGTCGATGTCCGCACGATGTGAATCCTAGTCCAGTGATAAATCAAAGTCGAGTCGACGTCGAAACGATGTCGTGTTCAGACTGGAAGAGTTGAGATCCAAACGTAATATCCAAAAAGAACCCTATGCGCCACAGAGTACCAAGATCACGCGGTTGGCGGGGAGGGCGCCGTGGGGGAGGCAGTCCCGCCGTGCAGCGGAGGCGAACGGGACTGCCTAGACTGGGCACATGCCGCCCGGGCTGCTTTTAGGGGTGTATTTATCAAACGCACGCGTGCTGTAACATACAACCAGTTGTGGCTGACGACTCCTTGTGCGACTATGGTCGAGCTGGCGAGGCGTGGCTGAGGCTAGTGGCGCACGTCCTCGGGAGACTATTTACTCATTGGCCTTCACTGAGCCCAGGGAAGTCCAACCTTGAAGAGGGATATGCGGGGATATGTCTGGCTGTGCATGTCTGCCTATACCGGGGGCTCTGCCCGGTTGTCAAGAGCAGAGGGGGTTTGGGGGGGGGGGGTGGAGCTTGTTGCTCCGGTAACCCCACCCTCTCCCCTTCTCACCCCATCTCGGGGTCAGGGAAGGGGGCCATAGCGTCGCTGTGAACGTCCTCATCCACATCCAGAGGCCTGGCATTCATGACCATGACTGGCACTGGGGGTGGGGTTGTTAGGTCATGGGGTCCGCGAACGGAGATGGGGTGGATCCAGTGTTATATTCAATTAAGGATTCTAGTGAGCTCCGGGTGACTTCGGGTGAGTTCTCTCCGGAGAGTTTCGGGTGAAGTAGAGAGAGTGGGGGTAGAATGCGGGGCAGAATAGGCAGTGGTTTACGAATAAATTTTCGCTTTTAAAGGGACTTTCAGACGTTTTACAGCGAAACATACCATACTACGGTTTACCTTCAAGAGCATTAACTCTGATTTAAACGATTTAAACTGAAACCTAATCTGTATTAGGAAACATTTAGGGGTAGTGTCCATAAGAATTAGACAGTTATCGCGTTTTTGCTCTCTTTCTTTCAGATTCTCTGTATAACATCGACGGCTGGGAGGGAGCCTTGGCTGTTCTCAGCCATTCAATCAGGTCTGCACTCCTAGCTATGCCCCAATGCTGCGCCCACTCTGCACGAACGATGTTGTCAACCTGGGTGGCTGAGGTCAAGGAGACCTCCAGGCTCTTCAGTGGCCTTCATTCGTGGGCCACCGAATTAGAGGTGGTAGGTAACTCATATCGAATGAGGAAAATGTGTTTTGGCACTCTCTGTCCCAGCCAGAAAAGTCATCTCTAAATGACGTCTAAAAGACATATTAGGTCTAAATTTTTGACCCTTTACAAGTCTAACTGGTCACAAAAAAGGACTTAGTTGACCAATATGTTTTTCTTTGTAAAAGTGTTTCTGGGTTTCGTGAAAACCATTTTAAACCATGACCATTGTTTTGATTACTATCGTGGTAAGATTGATCTGTCCCTTG